AAGTGCTTGCTTGCACATCGATGTTTATTGTGGCACTATTCATGACTGCTAAGACATGAAACCAACCCAAAGGCCCCCGTACGGATTAATGGCTTAAAATACTATTCAGCCATAAAATCAACAAAACCCTGGCTTTTAACAGAAAGTGAAAAAATATTAAAGATTTACTGCTGAGTGGAGCAAGCCAGGCTATGTGGGAAAGATATTTTATGTCCCCATTTTTCATATACCTAGCGTGTTCACTGCACTCTATGACTGAAATTGATTGACTTAAGTGTATACAAACACAAGAGATGGGCGTGAATGCCAGATGTGGTATGTGTGGTTGAGCAGGGCCTAGGGAAGGACGTTTGGAGGAAGCGTATGGAGGCAGAGTATTGATGGGATGGGGAGGTGTGATGTTATTGATTGAAGATATTTTCATCACCGGACTGGAGAGAAATGTTCACATATTGAAATGTTCACTTTGTAAGCTAAATAATGTGATTGGATGTATATAAAGAACAATTTAAAATAAAATAAATAAGAAAAAAATAGGTTTAGTTATTGTAAGGGTCCAGAGATCGGTCTAACTGATGGAGACATAGAAAAGACAACAACAATGCAACTGCAAAAGAGGCTTTTATTTTTCCAGCTAGCTGGGGTCCAAGTTTCAGCCTGTCACAGCAGGCCTTCACAAGGACTCCATACCTAAGATAAAGGGATCTTTTATAGTTCAGGATCTTTTCTAGACTGTAACACACAAAGGAAGGGGGGGTATGAGAAACAAGGGTCCAGCTTTCACCCCCTGCTCGGTCTAGATAAGGGCTCTCAGCTAAGGGGTTGGATGACCTTGCCTTCGAGGTGCTGAGCTCTCCTGTTTTCCACTTATCTGAGAGTTCCCAGACTCCTAGTTTCTGTCCTTGAGGCCCTAACAAAGTGGGCTCCATCCCTGAAGACTCAACAGGGTAACAATTAAGCTAACTTGCCCCAGCATTCCCTAACATGGCGGTGATTATGCTAACTCGGCCTAACAAGGACATAGTAAGGGCCTACTGTAGTTTAGCTCTTACATTTCTTTATGTCTGGCAAGCAATTTACAGAAGCAGATAAGTATTGGGTTAGAGTAACAAAACAGTATTTCTTGTTATTAAAGTTGGGCATAACTTTGCATCAGAAACATAACTTGCACAATGTTGAGATGGTCTCTTATAAACTGTGCCAATCTGTTTATGATGCAGGGCCAATGGTGAGTAAAAGAAGTAAAATAATCAAGGGACCCATTATAGTGGAGATCAGGGTTGTCAACCAAGGGGATTTATTAAACCAAGCTTCAAACCAACTCTTGTTAGCTACTCGTTCTCTATTTCTTTTTGTTAGACCCTCTCTGACTTTAGACATAGAGTCCCAGACTACACCGGAGTGGTCAGCATAAAAACAGCATTCCTCCCCCAGAGCTACACAGAGACGGCCTTATTGTAGGATAAGGAGATCTAGTCCCCTTCTATTTCGTAACACAACTTCAGAGAGTGAGGTTAGAGACTTTTCTAAATGGCTAATAGGGGTTTCAATTCTTTCTAGGTCTTCATCAATTGTTATTTGTAGAGATCAAAACCCTGCAGTGTGGGTGGTAAGAGAGGCTATGCCTATTCCGGCACCAGCTAATCCTAGGCTAAACAAAGTGACAATGGTCAGGGCAGTGAAAGGCTCTTGCTTGGAGCCAAGTGGCTCAAGCGAATTCCAGTGTAGGAACATGACCTCCTCAGGGTGATAGATGATTCAAGGAAGAACTACAATTAAGACACAATATTCCTGGGCTGCATTGAAGACTAAAAGGGAAAGACACGGGGTAAGTCCAGTTTGTGAGCAAATCCACCAACCACCATGAGGGGACAGTGCTCACTTATTATTCGTGTTTGAGGAGACATCGTTGAGAATGGTCGAACACAGATGTCTTTCATATACAGGGACTGTTCCAAGATAGAGTCCTTGGCCACTTACTTGTTGTATGGTTATGCCCATTTACGGTCGGTCCACTGGCAGGTAGTGGGAGAGTCTAAAGTGGAGAGGTTAGTGGAGGCATCAAGCCCTATGCCCTCATAGAAGGGAGGGCGAACATCATAACATAGCCAGTACAGGGAAGTTATATTGGGATTAGACTGATTGAGGGCCGGGAACGCGGCTTGAACAAGACCAAGGAGTGGGTCCAGCCCCATTGTTGGGGATTTTGTAATGGGGAACAGTTTCTCAGGAACCACATGGGTGGTTGTACTCGAGGGTTGTGGAGGGGGTGACTGGGTCATCACACGTACAGGTAGGGTTATCAGCTTAGAAGGTTTGTGCAGGACCTCATTAAGACCTACTGGTTGTGTCAGGGGTTTTATAGACAATTTAATCATCAGGAGTCCACCCGGATAGGGTCCCATCCAGACAGTGCCACCTGAAAACTGGATTTTGCCATTTTAATATGGGTTGACTTTTGCCATTGTTTGTAAAACTAGCTTTAACCAAAGGGACTCTGTTACCCAATTCCCAGAAAGAGAAGTATACAAAATCAGAGTTGTGACCAGAGGTGACACAAGACCAGGCCTTACAATAGAAACTCTCAGCTCCCCCACAGGTATGGTAATTGGCTCTTTGATTACTGGGACAGGCCCAGAACCCCTTGATTTGGTCTCCAATCATCAATGTTCTTTTCATTAAGACATGGTAAGAGGGTTTCTTAATATGAGTTTTTTCAAAAAGGTCTCTTAGGTCAAAATAAAGGTCCGGCCACCATGTGCCTAATGGTGCAGTGTGAGTAGTGTAATTTAAATTGTTACCAGTCTCCCCGTTTGTGAGCACCCACGTTTGCTTACAAGGCTGATGTAGGCTCATCGCAGTTCTCCCACTAAGAAGCAGGCTTATCACCAGCATCTTTATCATTATCATGTTGAAGAAGGAACATTGACTGGTCTAAAGATCTGGACAGCTGGAGTTTCAGAGGATTGTGTGGGTGTTGGCGTACGGTCCACTCCTTTTTAGTTTGTGCGTACTCAGGTGATGAGGCTTGATGTACGTGAGAATGGTGACTCCATGGCCCAATTTTGTCAACCTTTAGAGCAGTAGGAGTAACCAAAAGAGTTACGTAAGGTCCTTTCCATCTAGGTTCCAAAGAGTGTGTCCTGTGCCTTTTCACCCAGACCCAATCCCCTGGGACTATACCATGGTTCAGGTTCAAGGAGTCCTTAGTCTCATGGAGTGCTTAGACTAAAGGCCAAATTGCTTCCTGAGCCCATTGAAGGGTCTGAAGGCTGGTTCTATGACCTACAGTTCCTTCAGGTATCAGAGAGGGGAGGGTACAAGTGTGTATGGGGGTTGGTGCCCCATACATGATTTCAAACGGGGTTACTCCATGGACATAAGGGGAGTTACAAACTTGGAACAGGGCAAAAGGTAGAATCACCCAGTCTCTGCCAGTCTCCAGGGCTAATTTAGATAAGGTCTCCTTTAGAGTTCTATTCATTCTATCTACTTGCCCAAAAGTCTGGGGGTTGTATTCACAATGGAACTTCCAATCAGTTCCCATAGCCTGGGCTAGTCCCTGTAGGGCCCTACTAGTGAAAGCCGGACCATTGTCTGAGCCCAGTGTCTCAGGAACTTCATACCAGGGTAGAATTTCCTCTAATAGGGTTTTAGCAACTATTTGAGCCATTTCTTGCTTAGTTGGAAAAGCCTCTGCTCATCCTGAGAAAGGATCCACCATAACTAGGAGATATTTATATCTGTATTTTCCTGGTTTTACCTCTGTGAAATCAATTTTCCAGCTTAATCCTGAAGCCTTCCCCTGGACCTGAATACCTGTGTGGAGTGGTCCCCTCTGCCCGGTTTCATAGCCTGGCACCCTTTGCAGCAGTCTATGAGGCGATGAATGTGTCTTCTTGGTTTGGAAACCATAGCTGTGCTGCCTGCAGGAGCTGGAGCAGTTTCCTTATGCTGAGATGGGTAGCCGAAAGGAGATCTGTGGCATTAGAGAGTCCCAGCTTTTCTGGCAGGATTAGACAATGTTCCATGTCTTTTTGCCAACCAGTAGGGTTGGGCAGCGAACAGTTGTTTCTTTGCATCCATTCTTGGTCCCCTGATGAATAATCTGGACATGCAGGTAAACCTGGGAGTTCCAGCATTGGCAAGTTAAGAGTCAGGGTGGGAGCTACAGATTTAATGGCTTCTTGTTTTGCTGCCTCATTGGTCTGCTTATTGCCAATGGCCTCAGAGGTCCTGGTGGTTTGGTGGCTCAGAACGTGCACTACTGCTATTGCTCGGGGTTTTTGCACCACTGCCAACAGCCACTGGATTTCAGGAAGGTTGCGCACCTTTCCTCCATCTGTGGTAATAAAGCCCCTCTCCCGGTAAATTGTCCCATGGATATGAACAGTACCAAAGGCATACCTGCTATCAGTGTAAATAGTAGCATGTTTCCCTTCCACCCGTTCAAGTGCTTCTGCCAGTGCAATGAGTTCAGCTTTCTGGGTGGAAGTTCCCGCTGGCAGAGAAGTGCTCCAAACTAAGTTCCCACTCTGGTCCACTATAGCTGCCCCAGTCTTACGTACTCCATCCTGCATAAAGCTGCTACCATCGGTGTACCAGATTACCTCACTGTTCAGGGTGTTTGAGAATACCCTCAATAGCATGGGGAGTTATCACTTTAAGGTGCTGTTCGAATGTTAGCTTGTTAGCATCTCTGACCAGCATTGCCACAGCAGCTATAAAGCGCAAGCATGGGGGCCACCCAGTTGCTACAGGATCCAGTCTCTTTGACAAGTAGGCCACTGGGCGTTTCCATGACTTTAGACGCTGCATGAGCACCCTTTTTGCAATTCCCCCTTTTTCAGTTACATGGAGAGTAAAGGGCTTAAGGGGGTCCAGCAAGGCTAATGCGGGACCTTCCAATAGAGAAGCCCTGAGTCTTTCAAAAGCAAGTTGTTGTTCAGGTCCCCAAGTAAAGGGCATTTTGTCTTTTGTGGCCTCATACAAGGGTTTGGCTAATTCTGCAAAACCCTGTATCCAGAGCCGACAGTAGCCCCCAAGAACTCTCGAACTTCTCTGGTTGTTGTAGAGACCAGCAGTCTCAATATAGTCTCTTTCATGGCCTTTGTCAGCCATCTTGTTCCCTTATGGAGATTATACTCCAAGTAAGTAACAGTTTGTTTACAAATGTGGGCCTTTTGGGCACTGGCACGATAGCCCAGTGAGCCCAATTCCTGCAAAAGGTCCTCTGTAGCTCTTCTACACTCTGCTTCAGAAGATGTGGCTAAGAGAAGGTCATCAACATACTGTAAGAGAGTCACAGAGCCATGGCTTTGTCGGAAAGAAAACAAGTCCTGATTCAAGGCTTCATTAAACAGAGTTGGGGAGTTCTTGGACCCCTGTGGGAATCTTGTCCATGTGAGCTGTTTATGGGTGTCTGAGGGCCCCTCTTCTTGCCATTCAAAGGCAAAAATTGGCTGGCTAACAGGTGCCAAGGCTATAATGAAGAATGCATCTTTTAAATCTAATGTTGTATACCAAAAACGAAAAGGGGGTAAATGGCTCAAGAGGGTGTATAGGTTAGGAACTGTGGGGTGGATATCTTGAGTCCTTTTGTTAACCTCTCATAAGTCCTGAACAGGCCTAAAATCATCTCCTCCCGGTTTCCTTACTGGGAGCAATGGAGTGTTCCAACTAGAATGACAAGGTATGAGAATGCCAGCCTGAAGCAGGGGATTTATGTGGGGGGCAATACCTTGCCTTGCTTCGGCTGACAGGGCGTATTGGCGTACTTGGACAGGTTGGGCTGAGGATTTGAGTTCAATTATTATAGGGGCCTGATGGGCTGTGAAACCCACTCCTGCCACTTCTGCCCACGCTTGGGGAAACTTCTGGACCCAAGAATTCAATTCCTGGGACATAATTGGACCCCCTGTAGTTCCAAACCTGTCTGGCATAAAGGCGATATTCATCTGCCAGAGCCAAAGTCAGGACATGAAGGGGGTGTCCCAAGTTATCAGTGACTCTAAGGCCCCCGGGACTGAAGTGGATTTGTGCATGCACTTTAGCCAATAAGTCATGCCCCAGCAGGGGGGTTGGGCATTCCGGAATTACCAAGGAGTGGGTTACCTGATGTCGACCCAAATCCACTTTACACTCTGTCGTCCATTGGTAAGCTTCCCTTCCACTGACACAGTTACCCAAGACTCAGGGAGGGGCTCTGAGTCCTGACTCCCCTAGTCACTGTATGCTCCTGCCATTAAGACCTAGGGGGCCCCTTGTGGATCTGGGACCTTGGGTCTCTCAGGACAGTCCTTTTTCTAGTGCCCATGCTTTTTACAATAGGCACATTGATTTATGTCAAGTTTAGGTCACATCTCTTTACCTTGGGGACCCCCTGTGTCTTCTCTCCTCCCTTAATACCAGCCAAGAGGATCTTAGCCAACCACTCATTCTGTTTCTGATGAAGTTTTCTGTCTTCTTCTCTACCTTTTTGTTGCAATTCCTGATTTTCCTTTCTAAGTCTATCCTCCCATTCTTCTGGGGTTTCTCGAGTATTAAAAACTCTATCTGCTAATCACATAAGGTCTCTAATAGTCATGTCTCCTAGGTCTTCCTGTTCATACAACGTTTTCCTAATATCTGGTGCTGCCTGGTTAATAAAAGACGTAATAAGAGCAGATTGATTTTCCTCAGCCAAGGGGCCTAAGGGGGTAAATTGCCTTTAGGCACTATAGAGATGTTCTAAGAATGTGGCCAGGCTTTCATTTTCTCTCTGAATAATTGCTTTCACCCTTGCCAAATTGGTGAAGCACTTTGCAGCCCCTCAGAGACCCGCCATGAGAGTCTGGCGATAGACTCGGAGACGCACCCTACCTTCAGCATTCCTGAAGTCCCAGTTAGGCCTGGTAAGTGGAAACCGCTCATCAATCAGGTTTGGTAAGGTGGTTGGATGACCGTCGTCTCCAGGTACATTCTTCCATGCTTCAGTGAGGATTTGCTCCCACTCCTCAGTAGTGAATAAGGTTTTGAGAAGCTGCTGGCAATCATCCCAAGTGGGGCTGTGGGTGTACAGAATAGACTCGAACAGATTGGTGAGTCCCCATGGGTCCAGTGAGAAGGGAGGATTTTGAGTTTTCCAAGTATATAAATCACTGCTAGAAAAGGGCCAGTACTGATACATGCACTCTCCTTGAGGGCCTGTACCCACAAGGACTCAGATAGGAAGGATTGGAGCCCACTCAGAGGATGAGGGCTCTTCTTCCCCCTGGACTCTCCTGGATCTAAGTCCTGCAGCAGGTCTTTGTGCCAACACTGGAGGTGCTGAGGGCCCTACAGTAGAGTGAGGCAACTGCTGAGGCTGTGGAGGGAGCTCCACCTCTGGCTGGCAGAGTGCTGCCACCTGAGCCTGAGGAGCTGCAGCTGTCTGAGCTGCAGTCACAGCATAAGGTGGTGGATAAGTTTCAAAATCTAAATCTTCCAGGGAAGGGTAAATACCAGGGTCCCCTTGAAGGACTGGCTTTTTGAGATCCTTTGTAGTTTCCTTCTGCTCTGAGGAGTGAGTACCTTCCACAGTCAATATTTTTGGGGGATCTTCTTCCTTTTCTGGTAAAAAAAACCTAAGCCAAGGAGGGGGATTTTCTACCAAATCTTGCCACATTATAATATATGGTTACTTGTCCAGATGACCCTGAAGGCCAGGCTGGGTGATTATTTCTCAGACCCGCTTGATGACTTTCAGTGAAAAGGTCCCCTGTGGTGGCCAGCCCACATCAAAGCCTGGCCATTCTGAAGAATAAAAGGTATTAAACTTACCTTTCCTTACCTCTAGTCCAGAGGTGTGAGCTTTCTCCCGGACTGACGAGAAGTGGTCTAAGATTAAACTCTTAGGAGTTACTTGGGTTTGGCCCACGACAGGAAAGAAAAGGAACAGAGGCCACAACAAAAAGAGACACAGAATCACAATCACCCCTGCAGCCCGGCAACCATTCACAGATGACAACCACATGCACCAGCCAGTCAGTTCCACCACATGCACCGGATTCACACCAGTCCATATGGATCCTTACCAAATGCTAGACCAAATGGCATCCAATGCAAATGCTCGTTGATCTCCTGGTTGTCAGGGACGTCTCCCTTGACTTCAGGTGGAGCCTCCCACGGAGGCTTATCTATCAGAATTCCACGGAGAATTATCTATCAGAATCAGACAGGTTTGGGAATAGGCTCCAAGGCCCCCTGCAAGTCCCAAACAGAGGCGGCCAACTCTCCTTTGCAGAGCAAGACAGGTCTGAGACAGGTTCTTTAGCCCCTTGCAAGTCCCAGACAAAGGTGATCAATCCTCCTTCCTTGGCAAAATGCAGAACCGCCCTTTGTCGTGTCTAATCTGGTGGCCACCAGGTTGACCTATCCCGGACGAGCCCCCGATGTAAAGGTCCAGAGATTGGTCTGATGGAGACACAGAAAAGACAATGACAATGCAACTGCAAAAGAGGCTTTTATTTTTCCAGCTAGCTGGGGTCCAAGTTTCAGATAACGGGATATTTTATATTCCAGGATCTTTTCTAGACTGTAACAAAGGAAGGGGAGGTATGAGAAGCAAGGGTCCAGCTTTCACCCCCTGCTCAGGTCTAGATAAGGGCTCTCAGCTAAGGGTTTGGGTGACCTTTCCTCAGAGGTGCTGGGCCGTCCCATTTTCCACTTATCTGAGAGTTCCCAGACTCCTGGTTTCTGTCCTTGAGGCCCTAACAAAGGGCTCCGTCCCTGAAGACTCAACAGGGTAGCGATTAAGCTAACTTGCCCCAGCATTCCCTATCATGGCAGTGATTATGCTAATTCACCCTAATATTGTCAGGACCAGCAGGTGGCATAAATGTTACATCATGGACTCTCATGTGAATGCCCATACCTGGTGACCTAAAACTCACTCTAAGTATATGTGCATGTGTAACCAAGACCCCAAGGGAAGAATGGAGAAGAAAAGATTGTGGAGTAGACATCCCCTCGGGAGTAAATTTTTGCTTTCTCTCTGTCTCTCTCTTTCTCTTCAGTGACCACATTGACCCTACAGCAAAATCTCTCTAAAATAAATACGGTGACAAAAAACCTCACTCTGGGTGCATGTGTGTGTGTGCTCCCAAGATCCTGAGAGGAGAATAGAGGAGAGAAGATTGCAACATGGCCATCCCCCATGGGGGGTGATTTCTCGCTTTCTGTCTCTCTGTCTCTCACTGTCTATCTGGTGAGCACACATGCCCTATAGCAAAAATCTTTCAAAAATAAAAAATAAAAAAGAATCTCAGGAAACAATGAGAAAATTAAAATAAAACAGCATAAAACTATAAACACTTTTATCCATTCACAACTATGCTAATGCATTGAGATTTAAAACAGAAGACATTTGTTCCACAGTCTATCTCAGAACTAATACATAGAGACTATTCTCTGTATAATTCATTTATTTTCTATTTCATTTAGTTCTACTAGAATCTTTATTATTTATTTTCTCCTGAAATTTTATTTAATATTTTTTGTTGTTGTTGTTGTTTTTCAAATTCCCTAAGGCATATCATTAGGTTATCCTTTTGCTACCTTTCCATCTTTTTCTTATGCACACTAATTGCTATGAACTTCTTCCTATGACTGCTTTTACAGTGTCCCGTAGATTATAGAAACTTGTGCACTCATTAACATTAATTTGCATAAATCTTTTAATTGCAGTCTTAATCTCTTCTGTAACTGCAAGGTTGTTCAGAAATAGATTATTTAGTTTTTATATATTTGTGCATTTTTGAGTGCTTTATAGTCACACAGAACTAGTGCTCTAACTGTGTGAATGATATGGGACACAAGGCTAGTAACTAGTAGAGTGTCCATCTCACTTAAGTGTGAGCCATTTCCCCTGCATCCAAGGGAAGGAATTACCACTGCGAACATTGGTGCTTCCATAGGAAAAGAAGAACCCACTTAGGGTTCGATGAGATAGAAATTCTACAGAAAAAAGTACTACAGAAAAAGCTTCTGGAAAGAACCATGATTCTGTGACACTTAGTTCATGGACTGAATCAGATAGACTTTCTACTGTTGAATATCAGTGTTTCAAGATACAACTTTTATAAATAGGTTGTATTTGTATTTTTATACAAACAGAACTGAAACCACTGACTGTCATTTCTATAAAGCAGGAGAATTTTTGTAAAACACATACTGGTGCTTTTCAAAATATAGCAATTTAAAAGAGTGAGTAAAGGGTGGGAGAAAAAGTCTGAAGAAAGACATTAAGAGAAAAATAGAGAAGGAAGATATTTATGGGACAAAAATATGGGATAATATATGTTGATGATAATGTATGTAGTATCCCCAGCTGGACTACTGAGAAATGTATTTATATTAGAACACTTTACAAGCTAAGTGATGTATGTGATTGAATGTATAAAAGAAATTACTATGAAATAAATTAAAAAACTACAATAAGTAAATAAATGGTGGTAGCAGCAGGCATTTGAAATATTTTTCTTTTAAAAGTTTCTTCTTTTGGTTTTAAGGTAATGACTTTATTAATAAATATACATCCATATAATGATGTAGATACAAATCATGAACACTACTCCAATTCCACACACATAATTGCAAACAAGTAGCTCATGTTCATGGGCATAAAAACATACGCAGTATCTATTCAGACTTTTTACAGCAAATGACAGTGTATTTATTATCACTTAACTGGTAATTAGTCTCTTCATAATTACTTGTGTTTAAAAGAGTTGAAACTGTGAAAACTTAAAAGAATCAAAGTGGCCTGATTACTTTAATTCATATATTTGATTTACTCTAGCATTAAATTTTCCAAAAATTAAATACACTATATGTGAGAGTACAAATTTATCTACCTGAGTGGAGAAAGGAGAAAAAAGGGGGAAAGATTTAGATACATATTGGAGTTTAATAGTAAGTATATAGATAAGGCATACGAAAAACAAAAACATAATAGCATCAAAATTTTATGTACAAGGAAAAAATATTGAACAACTGTTGTGAAAGTTTTTTTATTTCACTATAAAGGAATCATAAAATTTTACTGCATACAGAGACAATAACTGACAGAGTAGAAGTTATTAACCCCTGAACTGTTCTTTTTAAAGCTTCACAAAATAGGTTGAATTTTTTCCCTTTAGTTTGCAAATAACTGTGGTTATTCTTACACTGGATGGGTCATCCTTAACCTCATGAATAGATCAATTATGTTATCCTCCTTAACTCAAATGAACTGTTCTTATTTCAAGAAAATATACATGTAAATTTACACAAATCAGTTTGGAATATTCCTTTGACAGATGCTTCTTTTGAAAAGTAAATTAAATAGGTAAAAAATATTTTAGTCTAATTGAAACCCTGATTTAAAAAAAGTCCCAAAATACTTCAAATTAAAACAGATACTACTTATTATCTTTCAATATATAGTTTCAGTATATATCCTGTGCAAAACTCCAAAAATAGTGTCAAAATCATCCCATAGTAAAGATTAGTTACGCAAGGTTATATCTGTAAAAAAAAATGAAAACTTCATCTGTATTAGCTTCTAATTTGTTAATATAATAATAAATAAGGCATGTTAATATATGTTGTAAAGAACAAAGTAAAGCAAACTTACTAAAACCTTTCAACCTTCAGGAGGGAAAATGAGACCAGGAGGGTTCTGATTATCCATTAGAGATTTTGTTCAGTACCTGGATCAATTAGGTGACAGAACAGTGAGATCCAAGGATTAGTGTCAATGCATATGTCATAGAAATGATAGTATCAATTCTTATACAAGTTACTGTCTCAAAGCAACTGCAAATTATTAAAGAAGGTATCAAAATACTTTACATTAAGTACATTGGCCATCAAGAGTACATCTGTTGTTTGCTGGCTGTTTTTCAACAGTGCCAATTAAATCCTAATTGTAAATCTTGACTTTGTTTTTCACAATATAAGTAGTTAAAAAGAAGTTTACAAATGTTTTGAACAAGAGGCATTTGACCAGATGAATTCCATGTTTCAAAGCTGGGAGCCAGCCTTATGTGTGAGATCAGGTCCATGCAGTCTGATATGCATATAAATGTTCAGTTTCCCAGAACCCCAGGGTGTGTAGACTTTATGAATAAAAGTCTACATGTTTTCTCCAAGTAAGAGACATAGACTGGAAAATCAGATAAAAAAGAAACCCTCTATCTGTTGCCTATAAGAAATTCACCTTATGGATAAAGACATACATTGACTAAAAGGATTGGAAAGAGATATTTTATGCAAATAGAAATAAAAAAAGAGTAAGATTATCTTTTTTGCTGCAGCAGCTGCCAGGTCCATTTCCAGGTCTCTGGACAGTAAGGGACATTAAGAGAGGGGCACCACTGTCCCCACAGCCTCACTTCCAGGTGTCCCAGTCCAAGACCCACCCAGAACCCTAGACTGTCCTTTTTGATGCAGCAGCCACCAAATCCATCTGCAGGTCTCTGGTGAAATTGTGAACCAGCAAATGCGTGATGCATGACTTTTTCTTTATTCCCCTTTGTACTCTTCCCCCCCTTATATTATCTTCTCTCCCTCATTTTTCACCATGCCAGAGGGACTAGCTACATCTAGAATCAGAGATATGAAATTTTATGGTAATATAAGATT